CAGAAATTTTGGCGCGAATATGGCTTTATCTCTCTTTGAATTGAGTGTTAAGGCCATATGGCGTTATCTCGCATGGCTTTATCGCACCCCACCAAAATTTCTATTTATATACACAAAAAAAAAATCCCTTTATATAAACTTCTGCCCCCTAGGTGAAAGGATGGCTACGCCCTTGTACACAAACCAATCAAAGTATTTAAACCGTACATCATACGGTCAGTTTGATCGTTTAGAGCGCATACATGGTTCCATAATAATGATTCCAGTACCTTCATTTATGTATATTGTAACTATCAATATCTTATAAAGAGGAGTGTACAATTTTTTTAATCTAAAACTAATAAAGTTAGAAGGACGAAATTCGACATAACATAACATAACATAACATATTAGTTCTTGGCATAAATTTTTTTCAAAAATAAATATTGAAAGTTTCCAAGGATATTCAAGGATTAAAGTTTTAAAAGAACATTTTCAATACTTGTTCGTTCTGGTGCACTCAAAAATTAATTTTTTTTCTATTCTACAGAACATTTCCTTTTAATTGTAATACTGTTATTCTACAATGCACCGAATCTTTTGTTTAAATTTTTTATTCAATCATATTCTAGAAGTTTCAAAGTCCTTTTAAAAAAATCCTGACGTCAGAAGGGAAAACCAAAAACGCAGTTTTACTATATTTGGCCCCCAGTTTTATGAATATATTGATTTTTTCGTGTGTAAAATTGACTGTCGCACGGTGTAACCATTCATACAAAACGAATAAATTACATTATTTTTCAGTACTTACATATTTCATCAACTGTGCAACCATACCGTTCCATTCACCTGTAAATGGGTCTTGAGCTCCATACTTTCGATCGGGCACCAGGTCTAGGATGTACTCGAAACCAATGTCGCGAGCTATGAGCTCCAATATGTCTACGCAAAATCCAAAAAATCGCTCATTTCCAGTAAAATTTTTTCCGTAGTGCATCATTACGTAAGGTGTTTCCTATAAGAAAACGCAGATCGTCGGTTATACTTAATGTGACCAACTATTTCATAGCTCAAAGAAGTACAGGTTAGGTTGGGTTAGATTAAACTGGTTGGCCCAGGCAAGGGACACACTTGGACAATTGAGAGGTTGTCCTGTTTGGATACCACGAAAAAACTGAACGAATACCCTTAATTTAGTCGGCGAAGCGCTATGAGCCGATTACCAAATTGCGAATCCGGCTGATTTCGATCCCTGAGAGCTCAGTGTTAGTTAAGAAATGCGATCCAAAATGCTTCTATCTTAGCCTTCCGAAGGTTGGGTAGTCTAAAAGAAAGTGTGGATATGAGTCCAACTCACCTTCCTTATTGCCTATTTTTATAGACTTTAAAAATCATTTAGGGCAACTAATTTTTTACATCAACCGCATTTTTCTTTGTTAAACTAACTGAATAAATAAGCTATTAAATAAACTGTTAAACTGCATAAATCAAAATTCCTTTCCTATAAAAACTGTGTTTCTCTTACATGTATTATTGGCTAAACAAATATTTCAATGAGAGTGACTGGATTTCATTTCGTTCCGCTCCACTCACGTTTGAGAAAAAGTTGAGAATTCAACATTTCACAATTTGAAAATAAAAGAAAAAATCCATAACTAAAACCCTGCAAAAAGTGGGACTAGGTTAAATACTAGTACGGGACCACGCTACCTTGTAACCAACACTAGTAACCAAAATGGTCCAAATATATGGAGAAAATATGGTAACATTAACATTGCGATGTCATTGGACCTGACCACCTCTGGTCCAACGCTGCATAACATGGGACCACCTAGACGCCTACTCCTTTTGGACCATGGCACACTCGGCAACCGAATCGTATTGCCGATCGGCCGCGAAGAGGTGGTGTTCAACACATTTATCAGTTTTTTACGTTTGAAGTGGTCCAGGTCAGCATAACAAGTTACTAGTATGCAACCTGGTCCTTTTGCACATACTTTAAAATCACGACCCATTGGACCACCTGGTCCTCAAATTTTTGCAGGGAAGTGCCTTTTAGTGTGAGAACGCTATCAATGGTTATTTGAGATGCATTTGAAAACTAACGTTTGAGATTTGAGAAAAGGACTGATTCTCAAATGCATCTCAAATTGAGATTTAACAAAAATGTTTATTGGGAAATATCAATCATATACACATATGTACAATAGTAATTGCTATGAATTGCTACAGTATGAATTCAGGCCATGCATTTTCTTTGAGACTCCGTTGATTATTGTGGTCATAAGTTCAGCCAGCACATTCAATGGTCCATTACCCGTAGCTGCTCCAACATGATGAGTAGATTTTAATGAGCCTCACATGCCACTGCCTCTGATTAAAGCTGGATATGGGAATATTAGAAAATAAATAGAAATTATCTATTAAAACTATAAGAAAAATGTTTGTTTACAAAATTACCTGCTCTCCTCGCAATTTCTAAGGAAAATAGAAGTTCGACACTCCGAGAATCCAATCAAATAAGGATGCAACCTCGAATGAAAGATAATAAGCTAAAAATTTGCACAAGTCATTATTTTGGTGTTATAAAGCTTACCTCAAAAGCCTCATATGATGACGTATCCGCGTCTTAAGATATTTAAGGTCAAAGGTCACGAAAATCAGGTTTTTGGCAAATATCTCGTTTTCTTTGCGCTGAACGACATTTAAGGTGATTAGAAAAATTGCAGAACGAAAAATTCTCTTCAACTTTTGTTTCAAGTAATTTTATATACATTCAACCCTTCTTGAGATAGAGCGCAAAGAGTGGAGGACCGCCTACCTGTATATACGATACAGCGAGGTCAACTAGTAGAATACAACAAATAAATGAGTTATATAGTTAATTATTCACTTAAAATACTATTATTATTATTAAATTTTTATTATTTATTATTTAACTAGCTTATACCCGCGGGCTTCACCCCGCGCTTTTATACAAATATGAAAAATAATTTAATGATGTTAGATTTTTTTTCTGTGCACATTTCGTTATAGCTCGTTATTTTTTAAGCGAGTTAAGGTATTTAGGCCGTTTAAAACTATGAAATTATAAAATCTCTTCTGCGCGCTAGGCATACGAAAGATATCAATCCCTCTAAGTTTCCCTTAAAATGGTTCCAGGTATACGACGCGTGAACGTGTAACCTTCTTGGAGGTGCCACGGCGGGTTCTAATATTTCCAACTCAAATTTAGTAACCTGGCCTTGATAAAATACCACTTCTCATTACTGTAGCAAATGCCTCAAGAGAGCTTTACATTACAAGGCCGAACCCGGCTCTCCCATTTCCATTTAATGAAATTTATTCTGTCAGTACGGCACTTATAAAATAAATCTCCATACCAAATTTAAAATACTTCGAGAGATTTTCTATTCTTTCAGAGATATGTTTTTAGAGAAGCTTTTAGCATGTATGGGAGGCGACATGCCTCCTCTTTTAATAACTCACATTTTTTCCATGAGCAATTGATACATTTTGTATACACAACTCCATACCAAGTTCCAGTATTCTTCCACAAACACTTCCTGGGATATGTGGCAAGAAAAAGTAAATTTGTACTGGAAGTGCCACGCGCCTTTTTGTTATAACCCTAATCTTCTTCCATGAATTTAAAATTGATTTTACATACCCCAGAACCAAGTCCCAGTACTCTACCATGAACACCTCTAGAGATAAGCAGTATAAAACAGTAAATTTGTACGGCAGGAACCATGTCCCCTTTTCGAATAACGCAAATTCTTCTCCATGAGTATGGAATTAATTTTGTAAACACATCTCGGTGCCAAGTTCCAGTCCTCTACAATAAACACCTCTAGAGATATGCAGCATAGAAAAATCAATTTGCATAGGAGTTGCCACACCACCTTTTCCAATAACTCTAATTTTTCTCCATGAGTATGGTATTAGTTTCACATACATACATACATATGAATTTCCATACCAAGCTTGAGTGCTTTACCCCAAACATTTGAAGAGATATGCAATATGAAACTTTCAGTCAGTATGGGAGGTGCTACGCCTCGTTTCCAGACAAGTCCATTTTTTCTGTGAATATGAACATGATTTCACACAGTGTTGGCAAACTGTTAATCTGATTAACGATTAAAAATTAACGATTAAAATGTTAATCGCGTTTGAGGATTTACATTAATTAGTCGTAATCGACTGTACGATTAATGATAACATTTTTTAATAGTTAATCGCTGGCTGCGATTACGTTTAATTAATTTAAAACATTAATCGTTAATCCAATTAAAAATAAAATCTGATTAATTTGTCTAGTTTGTCCGAGTTTGAAACCAAACACCAGTTATGGTAATTATTTCGTGTTTTATGCTTATAAAAAGCACATAATATAAAAAAATTATAATTATTGTTATTAGTAATATACAAAATGGGAACTTTTACAAACCTAGTTTTTAAAACGTTTGTTGATATATATCTTAATGAAGATGCACACCAAATTGCTTAGATTGATGAGGAAACCCGACTTAGCCATACCTGATTAATTTGCTTTGTGTGCACAGGGAAATTCCAGCATACCTTAATTAATCACAAAACCTACTTGATCAAATTAAGAGTTAATGATTAAAAATTAATTTTTTAATCGCGGTTACGATTAACTGTTTCAGATTGAATTTAATCGAATTAACTAACTAATTAAAACATCAATCGATTAATGCCAACATTGATTTCACAGCCATATCACTATACCAAATTTCAGTTCTCTCCCACAAATACTTCCAGAGATATGTATGTAATATGAAAATTGCAATTTGTATGGGAGGGGCCTTGAGTTATCGGACTTACTTTCAGTCTAAGACCGTCCTTCCGAAATCCGTAGTAAATGTACTAAATTTCGTTCTGATCGGAAAACCGGTTAAGGAAGTAGCCTATTTTTCAATCCAGGTCATAAACCATCTTTGAGCAAAATTTCATGTTCAAACAGGTGGAAACTCTTAAAATAGTAGCCCATTTTCCAATATAGGTCATAAGCTATCTCTCTGCGTAATGTCATGCAAATCTGTTCAGTCGTTTCCGCGTATTAATATAATTAAAACCTTTTTAACAGGTGGCAACTCTTCCAAAATATTTGCCTATTTTCCACTGTAGGTCATAAGCTATCTACTTGCAAAATTTCTTGCAAATCCGTTCAGACTTTTCCGCGTATTTATTTAATTAAACTTGCTTAGCAGGTGGTAACTCTTAAAAAAATTTGTCTATTTTCCAACCTAGCTCATAAGCTATCTGTGTGAAAACTTCGATGCAAATCAATTCACTTATTTCCGCGTATTAATTAAATTAAACATTTCTAACAGGTGGCAACTCTTAAAAAAAGTACCCTACTTTCCAACCTATGTCATAGGCCATCTGTGTGCAAAATTTCATGCAAATCCGTGCAGTCGTTTCCGCGTATTAATTTCATTAAACTTTTTAACAGGTGGCAACTCTTCCAAAAAATTAGCCTATTTTCCACAGTAGGTCATTAGCTATCTGTGGGCAAATTTTCATGCAAATCTGTTCAGTCGTTTCCGCGTATTAATTTCATTAAACTTTTTTAACAGGTGGCAACTCTTCCAAATATTATTCTATTTTCCACCGTAGGTCATAGGCTATCTGTGTGCAAATTTTCGTGCAAATCCATTCAGTCGTTCCCGCATATTAAATAAATTAAACTTTTTTAACAGGTGGCAACTATTAAAAAAATAGCCTATTAACCAATCTGGCCTATAAGCTATCTGCGTACCAAATTTCATGCAAATCCGTTCCGTCGTTTTCGCGTGATGATTTCCCAAACATCCAAACATACAAACATTCACATTTATAATATTAGTAAGAGTAAGATAAGATATACAATCCCTGGCATTCAGTAAGCGGTCTCTAGTCAGTAATAGGGACTTATGGTGGTGAACTTGGATTTTGAGACTATTTGGTATTCAGTACGCTGTCTCACTGCTCTAGTCTCAAAAATAA